AAATTGGTTATCCCTATCTGAGTGTTCATTCACTACACTATTTCTAAACTCATTTAGACTCGTCAAGATATTTTATTCATAGACGAGATTACCTTGGGGTCGACGGAGATAGACTTACTCTGTATAGTACAATCCAATGAGGATTTTTAATCCTAATTAGACACCAGATTGTGTGAAGGTGTATGCCCCTTGAATATTGGATTTTGAACTAGAGACAAAGCATTGATAACATTTACACCATGATGAATAAAGACTTGAGTTATCCCGTTGTTGATATTGTTGACTGAATTTTGATCAGTCGTTGTTGACATATGTGTATCGTCTGTAGACTATCTCGATATAACTACTTTGTCGTAAGTCTTATGGACTCGATACGTTGTTGTTAGCAGTAGTGAATATCAAGAACGAGATAATTCTAAATCCTTACCATTAATGGTTATGCAAACTCACTAGCTCATGGAATAGCGATTTTGGCGTCTTGAGTAGAACATACTGGTTGTGTGCCCCAATGTGATAATCGATATACTGTAATGAATGTAGATTGAGCTACGACGAGTCTCAAATAGGAGGATGACACGGGCGTTCAAGATTTCACTGCTCTTTACTATCCATCTACTATATTGATAACATTTGTTCCTATTTAATTGTTTTTTTTTATCTCTGAAGTGGTACAGCTGTAGAAACAGATTTTGTTGAGTGTCCATCACAAATGCTGGAAAATTGGGTATGGAATGTTGACGGACTGAAAGCGCTACTTGGTACAAATGATGATCCAATTCCAAAAGATTTATTAGCTAGTCTAATTAATTCACGTATAGCAAATGCTGGTCTATTTTATTCTCGACAAATACTTTTAGCCTCATTCGATCAAGCCATTCATACAACGAACTGGGAAGTGAGTTTGATGTTTTTTGGTAAAGAAAATAATAGGTTCTTGATGTTCGTTTTCTGAATTTTCCCTGGACACACTAATCACTTGTCGAAATGTTTTGATCAACCAACTCCACCATTTCCCCAATGGAATCCTCTTATTTATTTGATGTGTGTTCCCGACCGTAGCTGCTACCTTGACGCTGTGGTCGGGCTTGCCTATCGTGATGACTCAACCGAGCTATATTGGCTGGAACATGTTTCTGTAGGTTCTACCATGCCAGGCAGGTCGATTAGAGAACGGTAAGACTAAAAGCAACAAACCCAAGGTCTGAAGGCGAAGTCGTACTGCTGACTGTAGAGGGGTGTGACAGCAGTAAGGTGTTTCCTTCAGACAACCAGCATGACAGCGATGCTGCCTTCCCACAAGGAGGGGTGGGGTTAGAAAAGGTCGACCCTAAAAAATGCACACCTCACTTTACCTCACGGATTTCCGTCTCCGGCGGTAAGGCCCTTTGAAGAACGGTGCTAACACATCAAAAACCTTCGACGAAAAGGCCGTGCGCGACCGGCCTCAAGCAGTTGTCCCTTAGGCACTGCGGTCACGCTCTCAGGTCACTGAGACCACCTCTAATCCAATTTCCTTTTCAGGTTCGTCAAGAAATACACTTCCACAGTGTGGGCAGCCGGGAAGTGATATCAGCCCTCGTACCCGTAACAGCACACGAGACCAAGTCGGTTACATTCAAATCCTTCCTACACCTCCTAATACCACTCTTATCTCCTCGACTAACCCCTCTCACGTTTTTTTTATCACCTTGCATCGCTAGGGCAAACGATTCTAGTACGCGGACCGCTATTCCTGGTCTCCTGAAACAACGCTCTAAACTTCATGTTGGAGCTTATAATGTCCAAACACTGTGCCAAATAGGACAACAAACTTCCTTAGCTAGGACTTTAGAATCTCGTGCCATCGATGTGTGGTGCGTCTCCGAAACGCGCATACAGGATCTGAGTAGCGTCATTCATTTGACCTCACCATGTCAAAATAAGGAACCAAATCGATTCAGAGCAGAACTAGCTCTCTTAGACTGGATCCCAGTAGACAGTCGTTTGTGCGCTGTCTGACTGAATGGAACAGTAAGGATCCGAAAATATAGGGACACTCGTCGTTGCCTCTTCGTCGTCTCCAACTGACTGCAGCTCAGATGATGTAAAAGATGAGTTTTACAGAAAGCTTTCCGACCTTCTCCGAAAAGCTAGGCGCTCGGATGTAGTAATAGTGGCCGGTGACTTTAATGCTCAAGTAGGTAAACTAAGCGAAAGGGAAAGACACCTAGGTGGATCTTATGGTGTCGTGGCTCAAAGAACAGATAATGGCGACCGTCTGTTGCAGCTATGCTCAGATAACCGCCTGTTCCTTGCAAATACTAACTTTAAGCATAAGGAAAAACATCTTTTAACATGGCGACCCCCTAATTCGTCCCAACGTTGGACCCAAATAGATCACATCGCTATCAGCCACCGATGGAGGGGCTCGATAGAAGACTGTCGCTCATTCTGGAGCACATGCCTAGATTCAGATCATGCTCTAGTGCGAGCGCGTATTTGCTTGCGTCTTACTGGACGTAGGAAAGACGCTGCAAGGAAACCTCTTAGGGCCTACTTAATGATAGTCAAGCTAAGAGTATATTTCAGGAACAACTAGGAAAACAGTTAGGCAGCCATGTATGTGATGCCCACCCCGATGCAGCATGGAATGATATCCGAAAAGCTGTGGAAACAGCAGTGATATCTGCTAGTAAGGTAAACCAGAAGGTTAGGGAGCAACACTGGATCTCAGCAGCATCTATCGCACTGATAGATGCTCGGAAACTCATTCCACCTGGCTCTGAACATAATGAAGAGCGGAGTCAGCTTAAGCGCAAGCTGACAAGAAGTCTACGCAATGATCGCGAACAGTGGTGGGTAGCGAAAGCAAGAGAGATGGAAAAGGCAGCGGCAATAGGTAATAGCAGACAATTGTTCAGACTTGTTAAGGAAACCGACTGTTAGCGAAACAATCTCAGAGAAAGATGGACATATTATTCATTCTCAATCCAGGAGATTGGATCGATGGGCAGAACACTTTAGGGATCAGTTCAACTGGCCTTCAGCCACACTTCGGTTTCCCACGATCTCCAGTCAACCTGAATGGCAAGTTAATGTAGGTCCTCCGTCCCTTTACGAAGTTGAAAAAGCCATAGGAAATCTGAAACGAGGGAGAGCAGCAGGCCCTGACAGGTTTACTCCTGAGATTTTTAAGGATGGTGGTCCAGTATTAGCAATGAGATTAACTGAGGTCTTAGGTAGAATTTGGGAACTGGACGTAATCCCATCTGACTGGTCTCAATCACTGATTGTGCCAGTCTATAAGAAAGGACAAAAGTCCTCTTGTGACAATCACAGAGGAATCAGTTTGACTAATATAGTGTCTAAAATATTAGCTTCAATAATACTTCGACGCCTAACAAAGCTCGTGAAGAGCAGATTAGAGAAAACCAGGCCGGTTTTCGACCTGGACGTGGTTGTATAGATCAGATATTCACACTACGTCAGGTTCTAGAACACAGACACACATTCAGACGCCCCACAATGGTAGTATTTCTCGACCTTAAGGCGGCATTCGACTCTGTTGATCGTGAGGTTCTATGGCAGTGTTTGTCACTGAAAGGAGTACCAAAGAAGTACATTAACCTTATAAAGGCTCTCTACTCGAACACAACTGGTCGAGTGAGAGCTTATGGCGAACTGTCATCAGAATTGATTACCTCAAGTGGTGTTCGTCAGGGCTGTCCACTCTCCCCATTCTTGTTCAACTTTGTCATCGACGTACTTTTAGAGATAACACTCCTCATCTAAATTTACAGGGGTTGAACTTCTACCGGGAGGTTCACTTGTTGACTTAGAATATGCTGATGACATAGTTTTATTTGGTGAAGACGCTGACAAAATGCAGAGTCTTCTGACCACTCTAAGCAACAATGCAAGCATGTTCGGGATGCGATTCTCCCCTCGAAATGCAAAATGTTGCTTCAGGATTGGGTTACATCGACACCCGAACTAGTGATAGGGAGTGAAGTAGTTGAGTGTGTCGACCGCTTCACTTATCTTGGAAGTCTCATCAGCCCTTGTGGTTGGTGTGTGACGAAATCTCAGCACGGATACAGAAGGCTCGACTAGCTTTTGCCAACTTGCGTCATTTATGGCGTAGGCGAGATATCCGTCTATCAACCAAAGGACGGTTTACTGCGCAGCAGTTCGTTCCGTCCTACTTTATGGCAGTGAAACATGGCCGGTAAGAGTAGAGGATATTCGTAGGTTACTAGTATTTGATCATAGGTGTCTTCGAAATATTGCTCGTATATCATGGGACCATCGAGTAAGTAACACAGTTGTTAGGAAACGGGTACTAGGTAAGGATGGCAAATCAATTGATGAAGTAGTGAAACTTCATCAGTTGAGATGGCTGGGACACGTGTTACGTATGCCCAACGACCGACTGCCTCGACGTGCTATGTTCAGTGGTATAGGAGTAGGTTGGAAGAAAGCTAGGGGCGGCCAAACCAAAACATGGCACAAGTCCATGAAGTCACTGACAAGTGACTGAGTCATGTTGGTAGGTGTAGACTACCTGGTTGGGGACCGCGAGATGATAGCAACCGATGGTTAGAGACCCTGAATGACATGGCTCAAAATCGTTTGCAATGGCGCAGGTGCATCCACTCTTTGTGTTCTTCCAAATTCTAATCTTCTGAATTCTTCATGTTCCTTTTTTTCTTTTTTCCAGTTTATTTCACTCGATTATACTCCTTGAATAACATCTTGGAACCCTAACGTATCTGATTACAGCTTATACTTTTACTACCTCTACCACCATGGGATTTGAATCGACAACTGCATCTCTGTGCTAATGTGGTATGGCAACTCGAATTGATGTACGTACGTACGAAGTTCTACGTTTTTACTGACTGACTGACTGATGTGTGTTGGTTCTCTTTGGAAACTATAATGACCATTATTATTATCATTATTTATCATTAACATCACACTCTTATAACTTCATTTTTTGTTTTGCTTTTTAAACACAGGATGATCCTCTAGTTACTTTTGCGAATTTAAGTAAAAAATGGTTGGGTATTCAACCGATACCAGATACTTTTTGGCCTGCATCTTTTGTTCATTTAACTTGTGGTTATGATGCACGTTTCTATAGTTATTTAGTAAGTTAATAAATACAGTCACTTATGTACTTGTAATCCTAAATTTCTCTCATGGCTATCGTGATTCATCATTAATGGAAATAAATCAATCAAAATCGGGATTGGCATATCTGTACTGAGTATAGTTGTTCGAATGCAAACACCATTTACTGCTGTGGTGTGTGCTACTGATGTCGACAGTTATAAGTAGTATGCATCATCAGTCGAAAGTGAAATATCTGGTGAGAGAAGGTTAAGAAGATCGAAGAAAAAAGAGTGAGAACAGAGGATGATAGATGTGGAAACGAAGGAACGATGAAGTTTGAGACTATTGACTGATATTTTACAGAAGGAACGAATTGAGCGAAGAAATTTCTTTTCAATTAGTTTTTCATCATGGCTCTACACTAATATATATACGTTTTACAATAATCATATAATACTCATCGAGTGGATACGTTACGTAATAATTACATAATGACATTTAAATTAACATTCAGTAATTGGAAGAGAGAGGATTATTAATATTCAAAGTAATCAAGAAGTTGCTATGTTGCGTAATATAGGAAACAAAGAAGGAATAGAATTTTACCGGATGGTCAATAGGATAGTAGTTACGTAAGAATCAAGAGATGAATGTTGAGAAGTTATAAGGCTCAAAAGCGATAGAAACAAAATTACAAAAATTTTAAAATTAAAATAAAAATGGAAGAAGCATGAAAAATAGTTCTTCTGACGGAAATGTTATACTGAAGGCCAGGGTAGAGAAAGTGGTTGTACGAATTTCTTTTGGATGCAAAGGTCAGGTTTGTGAACATGGATTGCGATGGCTTCCGCAATGTGCAAAAGGCGCACTCGTAAACCATGTGGTAGATTTGATGGAATATTGTAGATAACCTTAAAAGCTTTATTCACTTCGACTTGATGACCTGTGTCAACCAAGTGAGAGAGAATAGAACCTTTAATCACTTTCACCTGTCCTTTGCTTAGCCATGTTGGATGGTGTTCTGTAATGCGGTGACGGACCTGTCGAATTGTACGCCCTATGTAACTGGCTCCACAGGAGCAGTTGAAACGATAGATACACATAGATTTGGCGAATTCTGGCAGTCTGTCTTTAATGGATGTTCTTATTTTCGGGTGGTTGTAGAAGATAACATTTAATTTGGCAGCATTAAATGTTTTTTGTACGGCTCTTCTTAGTTTCTGAGTCAAGGTTTCTTCAATGGTGTCATTTATGAATTGTAGTTTTGTGAATAGTACCTTCTTATGGACGGTGGGTATCTTTGTCCTTGTTTTCTAATCCATCATATGTTTGTCGATGAATTTCATGGGATACCCATTCATGCTAAGTAGGTTCCGAATATTATTCAATTCTTCTTCGATGGAGTTGCCATGGGATCACCATTGGGCCCTCTACTGGCTGATATTTTCCTTGCAAAACTGGAAAACGGACCACTTAAAAGCATAATTAGCCATTTACCAACTTATTATCGCTATATAGACGACACCTTCATAGTACTAGAAAAAGAGAATGATAAGGACAATTTACTTAATACATTTAATAACGTTCATCCATCAATTAATTTTACATCAGAAGATGAACAGAACGACAGCATATCATTTCTAGATGTCCAACTAAAAAGAAGATCAGACGGAACTTTAAAAAGAGGGGTACACAGAAAATCTGCAGCAGTACAATACACTCATTTCTATAGTGCAGTTCCATTGAGATACAAAAGGAACTGGATAAAAATCTTGACACATCGGGCTAGAATGATTTGCTCTGAAGACACCATCGAAGAAGAATTGAATAATATTCGGAACCTACTTAGCATGAATGGGTATCCCATGAAATTCATCGACAAACATATGATGGATTAGAAAACAAGGACAAAGATACCCACCGTCCATAAGAAGGTACTATTCACAAAACTACAATTCATAAATGACACCATTGAAGAAACCTTGACTCAGAAACTAAGAAGAGCCGTACAAAAAACATTTAATGCTGCCAAATTAAATGTTATCTTCTACAACCACCCGAAAATAAGAACATCCATTAAAGACAGACTGCCAGAATTCGCCAAATCTATGTGTATCTATCGTTTCAACTGCTCCTGTGGAGCCAGTTACATAGGGCGTACAATTCGACAGGTCCGTCACCGCATTACAGAACACCATCCAACATGGCTAAGCAAAGGACAGGTGAAAGTGATTAAAGGTTCTATTCTCTCTCACTTGGTTGACACAGGTCATCAAGTCGAAGTGAATAAAGCTTTTAAGGTTATCTACAATATTCCATCAAATCTACCACATGGTTTACGAGTGCGCCTTTTGCACATTGCGGAAGCCATCGCAATCCATGTTCACAAACCTGACCTTTGCATCCAAAAGAAATTCGTACAACCACTTTCTCTACCCTGGCCTTCAGTATAACATTTCCGTCAGAAGAACTATTTTTCATGCTTCTTCCATTTTTATTTTAATTTTAAAATTTTTGTAATTTTGTTTCTATCGCTTTTGAGCCTTATAACTTCTCAACATTCATCTCTTGATTCTTACGTAACTACTATCCTATTGACCATCCGGTAAAATTCTATTCCTTCTTTGTTTCTTATATTACGCAACATAGCAACTTCTTGATTACTTTGAATATTAATAATCCTCTCTCTTCCAATTACTGAATGTTAATTTAAATGTCATTATGTAATTATTACGTAACGTATCCACTCGATGAGTATTATATGATTATTGTAAAACGTATATATATTAGTGTAGAGCCATGATGAAAAACTAATTGAAAAGAAATTTCTTCGCTCAATTCGTTCCTTCTTTATTTACCAAATGGCAAAATGGGAATTTTCATGATATTTTACAAATGAAGTGTTTACTATATGGTTCTCAGATTTTACCAAGCCATTCTGTAGTGGTGCATTGAGATCCATTTGGTTGACCCCACTTGTGTTATTGTTCACTGCACTACTTCTTAGTAGTATCTCATAATTGTACGTACAATGAACGTGTATAATGCATAAAAGTATTATTCTGTTCATGAAAATATTTTGCACTAATCGTGAAGTATGCGAATATATCTTTCTGTTTCAGAATGTAAGATTGTTACATGTTGATTCAAGTTATCAAACTTCACTAGAGAATTAGTAAAAACACTTAAACTCAACATAAAACATAACTGAAATATTTACTTCACTTGTTGTTATTTTACTTGTATCTTCCCATTGTTATTTAGGACTGGAATTGATCAGTCTCATGTTGGCATATGTGCATTCTTGCGAATTGCCTCGATATAGTCTCAAGTCACAAGCTTTTTAAGCAAAGATGGATAATGGCTAGTAGTGGTATCCCGGACGCGCGTTTCGTCCTATTTGGGACGCGTCAGTTGGACGAACCTGCAACGCAGAGTTGATGTTCACTCCGGCACTCGAACCCAGTACTGTTCGCCTCAGGACTCAGTGGTTAAGTGAATAACGCGATGGCGTTTGTAGAGAACGGTACTGGGTTCGAGTGCCGGAGTGAACACCAACTCTGTTGCAGGTTCGTCCAGCCGACGAGTCCCAAATGGGACGAAACACGCGTCCTGGATCCTACTGCTAGCCATTATCCATTTTTTCTTGAAATATTTACTATTCATTGTTTGTAATTAATTACGCTAAAAAGATATCATATAAGTCTCGCCCTAATTGTTTATATCAATGTAAAAATCATGAATGAATACACTTACATATCTAGAATTCGGTTACTAATCTATTCATAAGCTAGTCTACGTTGATTTCAAAGACTATGATTTCTTTTCTCTTGTCAAATATTTATATGTAAAATATTTTTAAAGTAATTGAATGTGTTTGGTGTGAACTTGTTCTCTTGCTATGCTTGCATCAATAAATAATACTGGTATCCACTCTTCAGCCAATTCATGTATACTGACTCTTAAGGCCTCATGTGGGGCCTTTTCTCACCAAGCTCCAATCAAAATACGAAGAGAACACAACTGATGTACTCTCTCTCTCTTTCTACATGTGTATTATCTTGAAAAACTCACGTAATTTACTTATCGATAACTGACTACAAATAAACAACTAGATGAACTTAAAATATGTAGTCGAACAAACTTGAGATGTTAACCGTTTTGGCTAATTAAGAGACGATGAACGTAAGTGAAATATAAATACTGATTTCCTAATGATTAGCTTCTAAACCTTGCCACTCACACTTATGTTGTTTTAAAGTAGATAGAATATTGTTTACTTATAGTTTTTTGGTTTTGTCTACAAATCCAATCTATTCTAACATTTACTTTTTACTTAAAGTTGAGTAGAGTATACAGCACTGATATGTTTGAATCACGTTTTCAATGTGCTATGGATGGTGGTTGCTTAAGTAAATCAGTTGGAAGAGATTATCGTGAGAAAATTCTCCGTCCTGGTGGTTCTAAAGATGCTGCAGATATGTTGAAAGATTTTCTTGGACGTGAACCAAACGATGATGCTTTCTTCAAATTATTAAATGTTAATTTACCATAATTGAAGTCATTTGTCTTTCAACTTTTATTTTGTAAAGAGATTTAATTATTTTTATTTGATTTCTTGTTTCTTATTTTCAATAAAAGTTTTTCCCAGCTTTTTATTACTATAGTTCTGATATCTTTTTTTCCCGAGATTCTTCTAAATAGAAGTCGTTTTTATGGAAGTTATTCCATCTTCATTGTTATTCTAGTCTATTCTGAATGAGATTATGCACAACGTTTTCAATGCTTAATTATGATGTTGTGGGCAATATATTCGGGTATTTTCCTGAATGTTCAGTGGATAAGTATTACATGTTAAAGTGAAGTTTTCAATTCACCTACCTAAAGATATCCGTAAATGTTTGATACGAATATGTCTAATGTATCACAGTTCAGTATTTTGGAGGGAAAACACAGATTTCATGAAAGTTAGGGTCTGAAACACATTGCCTAATGGAGTTGATACTACAATACGATACTCATTCACTAGATGAATGAAAACATTGCCGATAGTGCTGCATACGACATATTTCTCGAACATTAAATGTGTTGCTCACAACTTTGATGTGTTATTTTAAAAAGAATGGCTAGATTAGCCGATGGCTATTTGGGTTATCGATTAAAGGAAGTATTGAACAATTTACATATTCAATAGTATACAAGATTTTCACCTCCAAATTGTTTGTTTGTCAACGAGTCTCAGATTTTCTAGTTAACACGATTCAAAATTCTAATCGTTGACACTTTCCCCTATGAATCAATTCATGACTCTAATAACTTTTTCAGGTGGTTCAAAGTTTCTGTTAGACCGTCTTGGCATGTAGCCAATGAGAAAGTAAATTTTAAGGTGTTAGATCGTAGGTCCACTGAATTATGACAGTGTAGACTAAAGCATAAAATTGTGACATAATAATTACATTTCCCAAACTCTGTAAAACAGGTTTGAGCATTACGCGAATAATGATTGTAATAAGAAAGGATATAGGGACTAGATGAAGTTGGTTATAGTTTAAAGATTAACAAAAACTATGACGTGTATGGTGGCGACTTTCGAAGACTATCTAATATGGTCCAATAACTTGCGGCATAACTGTAAAGGAGTATTACTAGAATCATAAAAAGTCCAGTATTCGAATACTGAACAATACCAAGCATTTGGTCAAAATATACTCGGCGTTCAAAGTCACTTACGAAGTAGACAGAAATCCAACAAAGACAGTGAGCTTCTATCTCAGCATTACTACATCCTTAACTATGCATATAGACAAGCTGGAAGTGTGTCTGTTTTAGGGAGTATAAAGAGCAAGGCCTTTTTATTACATGTTTTTGAACTCAGTACAATTTAACTAGTTATATTTTCTAGATTCCTATATTTTAACTTGATGCTTTTTTTGTCCAATAAGTATAAAAATTAAAGTTATAAAAATTATATTTTACAAAATAAGTGATAAATCTCCCCTATATTCTCGTTAAAAGTACTCGCCATCTGTTGTGGTAAGTTTATTTTCATCACGACGGTTACTATGAGTCACTAGATGTCAGTTACTTTTCTATTTAAGGTTTAGTTGTCACATCTCCTCTATGCTTTACCATTTCACATTTATCTGTAGACAAATGTTTTACCGCAAAATGGAAATAATTTTAAAAGAGATATAACTGGTCGCAAATCCATTGGACAAAATAGTGTAATAAAATAATGTAATTAAAACTTGCATTGATTAATAGTATAAGCAGAATTCAATGTGATATAGCACCAAGTATAATACGACGAAGCGTTTTATTGTTGTTTAAAACAGCCTTTATTTATCAGTTCGTGTAATTGGTGTACAGAGTAGTACTACATTTGGTTGCAACGCCTAAAAGTTTGCAATCTCGTTTCCAAATCACACTTATATGCTTCTCTCAATATTTAGGAATGCATCAATACATCATATACAACTTAACCTCCCCTTTAAGCATGATTGAAAATTGTAGATTTGGATTACCAATCACTTTTATAGCAAACTTCAATTGTGGTCTTGGACAAAAATGAAGTGCAAAACTCTACTATTAAATGACGAGACATAGTTCTTTGTTACGTTATTACGTTTTTGGACTTTCAGTGATTGTCATGAAGGTTGTTTCAATGAAATTAGATGAGGCGGGTTTCGAGCCTGAGACCCGATAGTTGGACAATAACGTGAATCTAATTGTTCAGTTGGTTATTAATAAGGCTTCGAAATAAGTGGCGATAAAGTACCATGTGCATAGTTTCAAGTGAGATTGTATTATTATTTAATATAACTTCCGTATTGTGACAGTAATTTGTGTTATTGTATATAATAACACTACGTAATCATAGTTTCTAACACGAATTCATGGTTCGATAAAGGCAAAATGACTTCTTCAATATACATGTGACCTTGAAATCAGAAAACAGCCAATCAACATTCAGCTTTTATGAAAAGGAATTTAAAAAACCGTGATAAAATTATAAAGGATTTAAAGTTTTAACAGGATTAATGAAGATACTAGGGTTAACTGTCGATACTGTAATCCAACTGAACCCTAACAGCTAAATCCACAAGAAAATGATCAAGTCCTTTCACAACGCTAAATCTAATCAAGATCATGGCTCACAGTAACAAACTATTCACAATAGTGCTTTAAATCCGCGCTAATATTTAACGTCGGGTACCTTAGTTTTAACAGGTCCCTAACGACAATCAGCGTAAGCACAGTGTAGCTTGTAAGAGACAGTTCAAAGATGATGTGCAAATGATGTATTAGATGTATAACTTTCACATTTTGTTGAATCATCGTACAATTGTGCATTAAACCATAAATTGGTCTTCTCCACCTGAGTGTTCGTTCACTACTTTCGGTGTCGCTGCCAAACGAGAGGTGGATGGGGTGAAATCCTGCGGAGAGGAGTCGCTAGTCTAAGCGGACTTGCGCGGAAAGGCGTGACTACTAGAGTGTTCTAGCGGGGCGGCGTTGGCTGTAGCAGTCGCTGTCGTCTGAGGGAAGAAGTAGTGCGTCCGGTCTCTGGGCGGATATGGTTTGACGGGTTGCTGGGGTCACCGCGCCGGCGGACTCGACATTCCAGCGTGGCACAGACTGCGGAAAAGGAGGAAGTGATATGGAGAGCAGAACGACCGCAAGAATGACTTTCTTTTAAACGGGGGACAAGTATGGTGTATGGTACTTATGCTGACAGGTATAAGTAGTATGTAGCACTAATCGGAAATGGACTTATTGTCAGCAGAAGGTCAAGAAGATTCAACTGAAGGGAAAAGAGAGTATTTTCAATAAAAACGGGATCGAAAGAATCATGAAGCATGTAAAGGATAACTGAAGGAAGATGTATAAATTATTCATTTAGCGCATGGTCTTTTTTTACGAAGGCACTTTGTCGTTTCGCACTAAACAATAAGGTGGTTTTCCCCTAAAAGCCCTTGTCTACCACAGTAGGACGTGGGACTTGTAGATCAGTTTATTTTATTGAACAGTCACCGTAAAATGTCTTGAACATCAAAGTAAAACATCATTTTGCATATGCCGCGTTTTAAGTCTGAAAATTTGATAAGTTGATGTCGGCACTTTTTACACATGACACTAATTTTCATTGCAACACACTTTAACTAAATAAACGTATTTAGATAATTATTCTGTATTCTCATACTACTCTGTTTATCATACTACTTATAATTACATTGCTTCTCAGTTGAGCATACTCAACCCATATGTTAGTAATGACTTAATATGTATATGTGTGTTGTGTTTCTCTCGAGCTCAGTTTTTATTAAATATATCACTACCATTTCCTTGACTTTAATTACCCATTGCCATAATTTTAACACTTAATATTCAAAGACTAACATTAATCTTTTATTATGATGGGGATCTCTAAACCTTAATATTCGTTGTTTTTACTGGTTTTTTAATCTTCTCACAGACTCTCTCAACTGTGATTTCCTCTATTTCCTGTAGATTTTATAAGCCTTTGCACTTTTCGTTGAGAGATGTCTTGAACACTTAAGTGTTGTTGGTATCTAAATTAAAACTTTATAAGACTATCATAGTAATAATGATCCCACAATCTACAAAAACCCTCCCTTACTTAAAATGTTAAAATTATTAAGAGGTTTCGATTTCCTATTGTACGTAAAATATTTGTTGAACAAAATAATTGTTTTCTGGACTCAATAGCTCAGTGCATAATGCATTGGCATTTCAAGTGAAAGGTGCTGAACTCGAGTCTCATTGTGTACATCAACAATGGGTTATAAGTACATCAAACTGATATCTCTCAAATAGGATGAAATGTACGTTTTGGACTCTACTGCTAGACACAACACATTCATTCTTTAAAACGTGTGATAAAATGGCTAACTCGTGAATATCTATACAAGATGCATATTTAGTAACAAGGACTGATTAACATTCTATCCTACAACGAGATAATTCAAACTCTTTCGACTGATGATATAAACATTCTATTCGTTCAATAAGGAAGTGGTTTCATCGACTTAGTGACTCAGTGGATGATGCGGGCAAGAAGCACGTATTCTCCTAATTGGAACTCATCAGTCTCTTGATGTTCACACTGAAAATCGAACTCAGTATACATCAGCTTCAAATACCGTGCTATTCAATAAGCTACTGAGTTCAGATAACTGAAGATAAATCTTTAAAAATGTCCATTACTTAAACATCTATAAATATTCAACCATTACCAAATCTATGGCAGTAGCACACAGTAACAATGTAATGTTTCTCATATAAAACCTATTCATATCCATTAAAAACCATTCGTCTAGCTCTACACTCATTTAAACACACACTAATTGGACACTTTAATGATTGACGTACATAATCAATCACTGCTAGATTGCATGCAATCACTTACACATAATTATTCAGTGTATTTCACTGAGAAGGAGACATGTCTTGTAACAATTATATGTATATATAATAATAAACATTATTATTCTTATTTAATTACACCATTACATAATATGTAAACATTCATATTGTTGTTTGCTTTTTTTCCATCTCAGTAAACAATCACTACATATTTG